TCTTGATTCTTATCTTAGTACCAAGACATTAAAAAAAATTTCTGAAGTTAATAATCAATGTTACTTTTTGATAAAGAACAATATTTCATAAAGCAATTAAACATAATCATCAGTTCAAAATTTACAAGAGAGATTTGTATCAGCTTACAGGTGTATTTTAACTATGAGATGATTACATGTTGAGGTTTTATTTTGGGAACTAACCTAAAATAGTTACATATAATCTCTTTTTTTTGTTTTTGTTAAAGCTGGAAAGTATAATCAAAAACATACCCAATTATCAATCCAAAAAAAAAAAATAAACAAAAAAGAACGAAATTTAATTGTAATAACTAGTTAGAAAGTCCACAGTTTTTACTGTTTATTTTCACATAGGTAAAATGACTGATAGTTTCAAAATATTGCCTAATGAGCTTGTAACATAATAATTCCAAAAAAAATAAAGAAGATAGTTGGTAAGTACCATGAAACAAAACAGTGAAAATTTCAACTTTAGGTTAGGATTTTGTTGCACAAAAGGACCAATGTTTTATTACACCAGCTTATTCTGATTGGTAGTTTTTAAGCAAGGATTGAATGGGATAAGATTTCACTCACACGAAAAAAACGACAAAGACAAGTTTTGTGTTTACCTTTAAAGTCTTTTTTTTCGTGTCTAAATCTTGTTGTGTAGATTAATTATCAGTAAGTTTAAGGGCAAATTAAGATCATCCTATATAAAATGGTAGAACTAGAATTTTCGTCGACTAAATTAGGAAAAATTTCACTAAAAATATATTTATATTTGAGTGGTTTATTGACAAGAAAGTATTGGTTGAAAAACTGCCGACATTCAGTTATTAGTTCCGAAGCTTCTTGCTTGATGTAATTGAAACAAATTGGTGTTATCGTAAAATTGAAATCTAAGATTATTATTTGATACAGGAAACGATTATGATTACTAGTTTTGTAGGTCCTATCTAAACCAACAACATGTAAGAAATGATTAGACAGAGTTAAGTTGATCACAGGATGCAAAGAAAAATAAACTGAATCATTATCTTCATTCATTCGATACGTTCATTCTGCACCAGGTGAAATTATCAGACTTTTTAGTTTGTCAGTCAACTATAGTTAAAGTAATAGAATGTACAAACCATTTATTTGGAAGGTTAGACTTTGAAAACGCTTTGTTAAAAATTAGTTGCTTGTGAAATAAAGTATACAAGATCTATGACGTTGTACTCAGTGGTGCCCGAAACCAGTAGAGGATTTACGATATCGAAATCTGATTTGGTCAGTTTATGCATCCATGAATTATTGTAATAAGCAAAGGAATAACATTCATGGTTTTGATACACATTCCTATGAATTCCGATCTAGCATCCATCTATCATCTTGACAAAGATGAATTCTATTAAATTGCACTTTACTGAGGGCATAGAGAAATAACTTTATATAAAGTTTCAACATACCTTCTCAAACAGTGATTTTCACATTTTTATTGCTCAAAAACCACATATCTGACAGATAGATGTATTTGTTGCCCTTGTTAATATCTGATGTTTGAGGATCAAACTATAAAAGGTGGTCAGTATAATTAACCAATGTACGATTAAGCTATGAGTTAAAGACCTGTGAATTCTTCTTTAAGCTATCAAGTGTATAATGTGTTAATTGCTTCAGGTCATCTATGATAACACCGTTGTTTTATTGATTAATTTTTATTTGTGAAGTGGTGATGCACGTTTTGAGAAAAAGATTGAAACATCACTATGTTGATTTGGAAAATATAAAAAATTATTAACGATTAATTAACACTAAACTGATATGACAGCACTTGAATATCTTTTAAATGACAACCACCAGATTTTGAGTTCAGTCATTTGTAAGGTCTTGTGTGCACGCTACTAAGCAATCTTTAAGATAAAATAACTACTCACTGTTTATATATATATATATATTCAAGGATAAGAAAGAATGGTGTTGATTGTACTGATAAACTCAAATGGTGCATATGAAGAATGAAATAGTGAAATAACCAAGATAAAACTGTAGTCGGGAAAATCGAAAAACATCGTTGTACAGAAGCGTAAATAATAGGTCTTGTTTGATTTTCAAACAGAATGTTATTGGAATTTTTTATTGAAACTGATTAGTGACTAGTAAGGGAATTCAGAACGAAGGCTTCATCCCTTTCAGGACTCGTGCATTTCGGTTTTGATGCTCACAGTGAGACGTGAACCAAGTACCTTTCACTTTAAGCAGATTTCAAATAAAGGCTATTGGATTTTGACGAAACTCAATCATCCATATGGCTAAATACCATCCTGTCATTAGAGATGATGTCGTGATGACAATCCTAACTCTTAATCCTAATTCCTCATACTAACTCATGACACTATTCTGAACCTAATAATTTAAGTTTCTCGCGGTAACCTTTATATCGCTAAAAGATCATCCATAAATTATAGTCTCATCGTAATAAGCTTTAAGGCGCATGGGTGTTGCAACATTTCCGATTCATCTAGAGAAGAGATGACTTGAAGCTTATTTCGTCCCAGTCTAAGAACGTATCTGAAAAACGAACTACCCGGTTTATATAAGTCCTTTTTCATTCATTCAAGGCTACCTGGAATCCAATAGCTTCTATGGTTGATATTAGTTGATTAGGCCCCTGCCTATGACAGTATTCACATTCAACACTCACCACGTCATTAATTAGCTACCGAGTCCACATAACATCTAGTTTATACAATGAGGTGCATACTAACTTTAATTCACATATATTGGTTGTTTGAAAAGAACATCACCTCTAAGTTGCAGGCGCATTCACCAGACGAATTTCAAATAGGACGAAAGGAGCGCCCTACATTTCACTGCTATCCATCATCTATCTCTGCTTAACATTCATTGAAATAATAGTCACTGGATACAAATTATCATATGGAGTTGTATGAAATATCATCTTTAGTGTATTCGAGACAGAACAGAGCAAAAATAAGTCATCGGTTTAAGATTTCTTAAATTCACATAGCAGTAGAGAGTATTGTAAAAAACAAACAACGAAAAGTTAATGGATTGATTTACCAGCAATAATTAAACTTTAAAAACGTAAGCTATAATAAATAAACCGGCATAGAATCGGAAAATAGGACTAACACAAGCAATTTTATCAAAATTTGAACAGAATGTAGTAGGTTGATTGAATGTTAAAGTAACATTTGTGCTAGAAGATGAAAATAATAATGATACCTATAAAACAAAGCTATATCAGTGATAAATCCAAATATTAATAAAAAGTATTAATATATCCACTATTTAGGATGTAGTTATTCATTTAATTCATAGGTTTTATTCCGGATAAAATGTACTGAATATTACAACATTCACTAAATAACAACTGTGGTTGGGTGTCTACAGAAAATTTTATACGAGATTCCATAAAATCTACCAACCAAAAATGTTTTATAAGTTAATTTCTTCTACGCTCTGGTAAATTGTTTCAAGATAAATCCAAGAATTCCAGTTAAAATATGAAACATATGTAAGATACTATTGGGGCAATTTATATATCAACTCAAATCATATCATGTTTAATGATGAAAATTAATCGGAGAACATAAATTTTTGTCTTAATACATTTTTTGTACATATCTGTTTAGTATTTTTCATATGGAATTGACATGATAGAGAAAAATGTCAAATTGCATATTTTTTTCAATGACATCTTTCTACATAAGCCGATAAATGAAGACACTTAAACTTTTTGTTGCATTCTAACGAAAAATTCAATTAACTTGTACCTTTATTTGAGAAAAATATCTTTCCTGTTGAAGGTAGTTATCAGATGACTCTGGTTGACCTAGATTCTGTGCTAGTTGACACGTCATTACAACGTACCTGTAGTCTTGAGTAAACTGGTGCTGCCTTACAGATCTGACTCAGTGTCACTTAGCTTCACAATCTGAGTCCTTGTCACTAAGCTATTCGGACCGCGACTGACAACGTTTATAGAACTAGGGTGTTTATAATTAATTGGGTTCCATTGAGAAAGTTGAAATGTGGATACTAGTCTAAGTGAGTCGACGTGCCGTGTACCATGTTAAAATGTAAAGTTGTGATTGAAGGTAGTCGACAGGATATTGTGGACCTAGGTTTCGAGCTATTTAGTGCCTGTCAGCAAGGTATCCTTGTGACCTTGAAGGAACTGATGTTTGATGTCGGACTTGTACATCATTAGATTAGACGTTAACTGTTCACATGAATTATTATATACTATTAAAAATACCATTTGAGTTCTGGAAAGGGAGTATTCAGCAGGTGAGAGGTATTCAACATCTTTCCATTAATTTGATAGATGAGTGTCGATTCTCCATTGGCAATTTCAGTTCAAGTCCTAACTCCCTATTATTTTTGTTTTTCATTCTGGGATAAGCTACACTGATATGCTCATAGCAAAGATGGATAACTTGAAATCTCCAGTGAAAATTACACTCTTATGTGCAGCACTTTAAAAAAAAACAACCAACCGACAAAAAGCTCAAAAATGCTGGATATCGAACACTGAAGTTATTCATGACGTCAAATAGTTCTGGGAAATAATTTATGTTTATTAATTTAATTTTTTTTTTAAGGTCATATCACACATCCACTTAAGTTAGGTTTCTTCTTAAAATAAAGTAAAAATTACTAGTAACTAAGCAATATAATAATTTTTTTTTTAATTTTTCATAAAAGCAGCAAACATAATTAAAATTTCGACATTGTTTCCAGTATATTAATTATAGTTTCATTAAAAGTTATATGCACCATATAAAAAAAAGTACTAAACTAAATTTATGAATGATATTTTGCTTCTATTAATTAACTAGTCAAATTTAGTGAATACAGTATAGAATGTTATAGTATCAGATGATCAAGATTAGTTGATTACTGAATAGTAAAACTATAAAGCCAAAGTACACAGAGTAAAATAAGAGGTAATTCGAATTAAAATGTTTTTTTTTTCTCCATTTTTTGGAGCTAATTTTGGTACTTTTTATTTTGACAATATTAAAAACAAACTTATGATATAATAAAAATAAGACTAACATATATGAACAGATTACCTTTCAGTAGATTAAAATATGTAATAGTTGATTAAAATCAATGTTTATAACTTATATTTAGTTTGTAAAAAAAAATAAAAGAACCACAAGTCGAAAGATTACCTGAAAACTTGGATCCAAGATTAACTATTAGATGAAATCCTTAAAAGCGTTTAGACCCCAAGAAATAGGAACTTATATAGAATGTCTTATGTCTAAAGAAAAATTTAAAAGATCTAAGGTATTTTCAAGTTTTATTGATAGGTGGAAAGTATGTAACCCAGCTTAGTACAAATGATTACATATTCGCTTGTTTGTTTTATTCTCAGTACAGATGTTTAAAATAAAAACCATTGTTAAATGGAATCAATATCAAATCAAATATGATTTGTTACTTCTATTTTTATTTACTAATAGTAAAAGTGTAGTGTGGTTCCGGACGGTTGGATCACGAATTTCAAGTCAAATTGGGCTAGAGAAGAGAATGAACAATTTCACAAACAGGCATATATAATAAACACAGGGCTTGGTGCAAATCTAACCCTAAGTGACTACGCTTAAAATTAGAACAGTAAGAGCATAGAAGTAAAATGCAACAGTGAAGAGAAACTAGGGGTGGGAGTGTGGAACAACACTACGTCCAATATTGTAACCAATTTACATATACATAACTCAAATCCCCAAACCATTGAATAATACTATCATACACGTCACCTCCTTTAGACAAAACTAACCCAAAAAATGATACACGCAGGCACAAAGCCATTATTTAGTCACAAACCCTTACTCAGCTAACATCTACGCCAGTTACTGTAGCGCATCACGTGAGCAGTAGTCAGAAATAAATAAAAAAAGTTGGACGGTGGTTGGAGGTAGTCGACAGAAAACCCTGGACCAGGGTTTCGTGCTACTTGACACTCGTCAGCAAAGTTTACCTGTAATCTTGAGGGAACTGGTGCTCCCTGACGGGTTCGATCCCGTGTCACCCACCTTCAGTCAGAGACGTTACCACTGATCTGTCTGGGCAGCGACCGACCTCCTGTAGGACTGAGGTGTAATCATAATTGATTGACCACTGGGCGGTGATCAATGTCATGTGTGTCAATTCCTTACTAGTGCAGATCGAATGCTATCGATCATGTTGCAATGTGGTCACCAGTCTAGGTGACTCGACACTCCGTGCACTATGTTGAGATTAGATGGTAGCACGAAACCCGGGTCCATGGTTTCCTGTCGACTACCTCCAGCCACCGAATACTACGCACAAATCAAACTCGCTCTCTTACCAGTTCCCTTAAATATGAACAATCAATCTTAGACCTTGACTAAAGATACTCTAATGACGCAACATACTCTGAAGATACGTCCGTTGATTCGAAGGCACGTAGTCTGCATCATCTCATTCGTTAAATAATCCTTGCTCATACACAGAAGTTACGCATGTGACGAACTTAAAATCAAAGGAATAAAGCGATACTTACGGGAAAAAATTCGGGAGTGGATTGTAGTTAGAATTACTTTAGGCTTGGCCTCTTTCTAGAAAAAACACAATAATTTCAATCTTACACTAAACTTCAAGCTAGTACACTATTTGTTACACTTCCAAGGTCCAATGGCGAGTTGCATAGGAATACTGAAATATAACCTACGACAGAAATCCAAGATCAGATCAGACAAAGCACTGTGAAGTAGAAATGCGTGAAAACCCTTCCCAACATAACTTTTATGTTTTGAGACGAAATACCATAAGCCCCCAAGTGCCCTGGTACGGCCGAGAGTGGGGAGAGTCAGCTCTCCCTCTCGAAATGCTCTCACAAGGCCACACGTATATAGCCTCTGCCAGGAAAGTCCTACTCACTGCTTTCTCGCGGCGTGGGTGTTGTTTACGAAATTGAGAGGACGAAAAGAGAATTTCGGCGCATTAACCGGGTTGGTGGACACGGAGAGTCCACCTAGGGAAGTTGGAATACCCTGATTCCAAACCAATGGTGCCCATGGGCCCCAGTATCCTGACGGAACAAATGGCGTATGAACCAATTGTTGGTCACTGACCACCATGGGACTGCATCTCCTTACAATGCTCCACTGCCTTGTGGATCAGACCTTTAGGTCGAAGGCTCCGGGTGTGGCCCCCTAAGAAAACCACCTGCTTTGGTTTGGGCACCCGGGCAGTATTACAGCCCTCACACAAATCAAATGAGATTTGTGTGGCGCATATGTATCTGGTTCCCCCTTGTACGAGTATTTATGTGTTCAAATAAATAAATAATAAATTTTCGACGTACACACCTTTACACTCTTCGCCTATTTCATAGTAATCATTGTTGCGAATATTTACGGTTTGCACACGCTTTCTATTTTTAAAAATCAGTATAACAGAGGAAATTCGTTTCTTAGTAGACAGACGTACATCTCGCCTGTGGCAAAGATAAAGTGATTGATAGGAGAAAGCATATTTTGTCAGACACCGACCTAGTGAGTGCAAGACTCCGATGATAAATGAAACAGTCAATTCCCTGACTCCTCAGTGAATAATTGAGGGTGAAGACTAACCTGTCCTGAAGCACCCTGGAAATTTATCAAAAATCAGAAGACGGAACCGTTGTTCGTACACTCCAAGTCCATGAGTGTCTTGAAGGTGGAGAAATAAAATAAGGAAAACACTTTGGGAATATGAAATAAAATTAGAGAAGGCGAGATATCCGTCTATCAACCAAAGGACGTGTTTACTGCGCAACAGTTCGTTCCGTCCTACTTTATGGCTGTGAAACACGGCCGGTAAGAGTATAAGATATCCGTAGGTTACTAGTATTCGATCATATGTGTCTTCGAAATATTGCTCGTATATCCTGGGACCATCGAGTAAGTAATGCAGTTGTTGGGAAACGGGTACTAAGTAAGGATGGCAAATCAGTTGATGACGTAATCGAACTCCATCAGTCGAGACGGCTGGGACACGTGTTACGTACGCCCAACCACCGACTACCTCGATGTGCGATGTTTTGTTGTATAGGAGTAGATTGGAAGAAAGTTAGGGGCGGCCAGACCAAAACATGGCACAAATCCACGAAGTCATTGACAAGTGGACTGAGCCATGTTGGTAGGTGTAGACTACCTGGTTGGGTACCGCGAGATGATAGCAACCGATGGTTAGAGACCCTGAATGACATGGCTCAAAATCGTTTGCAATGGTGCAGATGCATCCACTCTTTGTGTTCTCCCAAATTCTAATCTTCTGAATTCTTCATGTCCCTTATTTTTTCTTCCAAATTTATTTCACTGGATTATACTTCTTGAATAACATCTTCAAACCCTAGTTTTTCTGATTACAGCTTATGATTTTACTACATCTAGCGCTACGGGATTTGAATCGACCACTGTATCTCTGTGCTAATGTGGTGTGGCAACTCGAACTGATGTACGTACGTACGAAGTTCTACGTTGTTACCGACTGAATTAATTTCTCTCAACCAAATAGTATGGGAAAGGTAACAACAGTTGGCTAGACTTAGTAATGCAAAACTCTTGGTAATTAAGGAGGGGAATGCTAAGAAAAACATTCCGCGAATAATTTTTACTTTATAGGAAACAATTATGAAAATTTACAAAAGGATGAAGTAAATAGTAAGTGAAATCAATACAGACACAAAGACTCGTTATCAACTAATGTTGCCTGTATATAAAGCAACGATGTGTATTTTCCAAAGATTGGTGAAAAATGAATGAAAGAGTAAATGTGTATGTGTGGAAATAAGGTGAATGTACTGAAGATACTAATTTTTTTCCATAATCTTTCTTGGATGTTTGTAAATATAGATGCAGATACACATAAACTACATCGAATAATCCAATAAATTAAATTGATAACGAAGTGTCAATAATAAACTTATGAGATGAATGAGTTACACCATTTGTTACATTTAATACCAAAAAAAAACAATAAAATAATTGAACATCGAACTAAGATTATAAAACATACACAAATGTCTTCAAGACAAATACAAATACATTAAACTACAAAGAAAAAATCAATAGGTGAGACGGTAAATATTTAGACAAGAAACAGAATAAAAGCAAGTAAATAATATATATGAAACATGTATAGTATTAATCATATTAACGAGTGAAAATAAAGATCGAACAAAACAGAATGAAAAAGACGTGTACCTTTGGAGATAACCATTTTAAATACACTAGTTTGATCGTCAATGGTACGATAATTATCATTGGTATTAATATTACTACTGTTACCAAGATAAACAGGAAGAAGACATATGAATTGATGACAGATACAACTCTACGAAAGCTGACAAATCAGAATGAGCGAGAGAAGTATACCACAGAGAAATTTAAGGAAGTCACAAACGAATGTGGTTGATATGAAGACAGAGAAGAAAAAAGTAAACCATTCAAGTACCATTTATCATGTATGTATATATCATATGCATACAACGTTTTTTGACGACCATAATAAATATGTTCAATGACTTGTATACAACTGACTGGTAAAACTAAAGATAAATGAATCGATTATATATATATATATATATATATATATATATATATATATATATATTGTTGGTTTATATGATTTAATTTATAACTGTTTGAGTCTATTTCAAAGGTTTAATACAAATAAGCTGTTGATATTATATCCATTCACATATATATTAAATACTAATGATGAAGACGGAATGTACTGCATACATTTCAATATTTCATTTGGTGAAGGATATTTATTATTAATTTATATAATTACGCTCGTGTATCCTTCTGATAAAGTTCTTCAATTTCATGTTGAAAACGAGTTTGTAAGTTGAAACGTTTTAATTTTAATGCATCCGTTACAAGACCAGTGTCTGGTGTCCAAGCTATAGTATCTAAAGCAACTTTTTGTGGTATTTCAAATGTACTTAAACGTTTTTCTCTAGCAACTCGTTGTAAATCTTTTAATACAGCTTGTATAATCTAGAATAATGAAGAGAGCAAAAAAAACAGAGAAGCATTTTAATTGAAATTTAAATATAAAAGGATGAGTTGAACAAGTGATTTATAAGTAAATATATACCACTAAGACATTTGACAATTAACTAATACACATCAGAACTGGGTAAAGGTTGATAAAAATCACATGTTAGTGTGACATTATTCTAAAGTTATATGATTTTATAATTTTATCTGCAAAATTTACTTTCAATAAAATAATTTAGAATAATGAGACAATGGTAAACGAAATGTTCGATTGTTAAAACGAATGTGAAGAATGCTGGTCAATAGATGATAAATAGTGATACAAATTGTGATCGAGTGATGCCTGCTTACCAGACCAGACCAATGAATTAAGTCTCCGAATGATTTTAAATCACAAACAAGCCCATTAGCTGAGGATAACAGACATCTCAAATCACAAAAATAGGAATGGTAAATTTATTAACGATAGGTACTACACTGGGCATATAGTATATTGAATTAATCACCATCTGAAAATAGAACACTTATAACAACATTGAGACAAAAGAATAAGACTACAAATGAATATTGTGAAAAAATCTCCTGATAGAATTTAGTCATAGATAAAAGTGACTGAACTCATTCTCACTGAAATTGGAACGCTTCAAAGTTGTCGATCGTAATCACCACCCGCTTGACAAATAGTGTGTAGTGCTTATTTTAACTATGGTTGTATCACAAGTTTGTATGATTAAAATAGATGGTCAAATTTAAAAAAAAAAACGTTGAAACGACAGTTAAACAAAACTAAAATTTCGTTTGAAATGATCACACAGACAACCTTTAGTTACGATAGCTAGATTATAATATACATCAGATTACGTGTAGTCACTTTACTTTTACATCAGCTAATTAGACAATAATATCAATGAGGTATTTTATTATTAACCTAATCAAATATTAATTAGTGCCATACATCACAAAAACAGATAATTATTTCCTCATTTCTATTAGTTTTTTGAATCTTCCTGATGATGTTATAGACCGCATGAGATTGATCAGTCTCTTTTAGGGATATGTGCAACTTTTGAGGATCCCTTTGGTATTCCCAGTAAGTCACAAGTATCCTAAGTAGAAATAGATGGTGGTTAACCGTGGAATCCAGGTCAAGCGTTTCGTCACATTTAGAACTCATCAGGAGGATGTACGTACATCCGTGCTGATACTCGCACCGGGACCCGAACCGAGTGACTTTTACCTCAAACACCCACCGTGTCATTCATTTAGCTGCTGAGTTCAGATAGACACTGGCTTGTGACTCAATGGCAATATCAAGCCAAAAGAGATGGATCAACTGCATGCAGCCCATAACATCAAGCAACCAATACAAAGGAATTTAAATTCACCCCGTTTTACAATGGTAATTGGGGAGATTTAGTAGTAGTCAGGCAAGGAAATGAAAGTTTATTTTATCCAGTAATACAATACACAAGACTATAAAATACTTGGTTATACAACTTTAGACAAACAGTTAGTAAACAATTTTATCATGACATTAATCCATCAATTACATAATGTTATATAAAAGTGAATCAATTGCAGGTGTGTCTTTACTTATACCTGACACACGCTTATTGGCCAATAAGATTAGCAGAGATGTGAGAGACCTTAAAAAGGACATTCATATCACGCCATATGGTGTGACTTTTATAACCAGCCTAAATGTAGTAATAGGGCGAAATGAACTGACCTTGAATTAAAAGATCATAAGGTAAACAGACAATGGCCTTAACACGAAGTAAATATAGAAACATTATATCATAAGATGACATATTATGGCCGAATTCAATTGTTTATTACAACCATATTTTTCTAAATGAATAAGACTCACTTGAGGATGTTTACAGAGAACAGCCCGTTCTACATGTTCGATAGCAATGGGATCTTTCATTGATTCTATAGGAAGCTTTGAACGAGCTTCATGAAGTAAGTGAACTAAGTTCAAAGATTCTGCTAAGTCAGTAAGCGACTTTAATTTCGGCGACACGAAACAGATTGGATAATTTTGCATCGGGTCCACATAAACACAAATTTGTTCAACATAGACTGATTGACCAAGAGCCATTTCAACTTTGCTAAGGGAAACATATTCCCCAGCTTGTAGTTTAACAAGATCTTTTTTACGGTCAATAATTGATAGACTTCCATCTGTATGCATCAGACCAATATCCCCTGAAAAATAGATTAATAAGAATAAAATGTAACATACAAAAACATTTGTGTATAAAAACTAATTAACACTATAATTTACAGAATGTATTGAATATGAAGATATAAATGAGCGATGAAACCGAAGTTAATTCCATATCAGGATATCCTCATATAAGTTTTGAAATAATTCATAAAATTGTCCATGTGACATGTGGGCAAGGAAGATGATTGGTTGCTTGTTTAGTCAGACTAGTAGATAGTCTGACAGATACTGGATGAATTATATATTCTCTTACCCTTATTATTATTGTGATTGTTGTCGGTTTTTGATGTGGAAATATACTTACATTCTAGTCACGTGTTCTTGATCCGAGTTGTGTTGAAGTCCTATAGAATATACACTGAGAGGGTATGTAGTATAGATATTCGTCTAAGGCAAATTAGCGTCCCTTTCGCGTACACAGGGAAAACAGAACATAATATTGACTTTTGAAAATCACAACAATCTAAAACGGTAGGTTGACAGAGGAATTAAGTCTGCTCGTAGAGCGTGCACTTGGAAGGAAGGCTCAAATCACAGAAGTCCCATTTATTACATACATGCTAACATCATTACCATCAAGTGATTGATGATAACTGTCAAGAAATATCTTGCGTATTTGAAATAATCTCAAGTCAGAACATAGCAAAACAAACTTTACTTATCAACATGATAGGAACAGTTAACTAAGCGAAACGTACCAGTACAAAACCAACGTGTGCCGTCTTGATCGGTTATGAAATCTCTAGCTGTCAATTCAGGCTGTTTGTAATAGCCTCGAGAAACCGGTTTACCAGATAAAAGAATCTCCCCACGTGGAGACGGTGTATCATAGGGAGAATACCCACCTTCAGGCCATGCTCGTAGACGAATTTGTAGAGTAGAAGCAGGTGCTCCAGAATGATTACATCGCAGATCCCCACATTCCATCAAAGTGCCAGTAGAACATGACTCAGTAAGACCATAACTGTAAAAGAAATTTGCCAGTAAAGCAGTTGAAATTTTATATTTAGTTCGAGACATCGTTCATCAAGTTACTTTAATGCTTTTAACGATTAAGTAAAATAATTCTAAGAATAAACACGCTTTTATGTACTAATGATATGTAACACTAAATACCACTGTCCTACCCTTTAAGCTAACCCCACAAAACAAAATCTGAGCCCATGAAAGACACTGTAAACCATATCCTGATACATGTTAACAGGCCTCCTAATTAAACTTAATTACCCAAGCAAACTAAATGTGTGTTATAGTCAACTTTTTACAAAAAACTACTGAAATGAAAAAAGTAAAGTTTAGTAACTATTGCAATCACATCTATGAAAAGTGCACGGATCAAATCTCTCTCTCTCTCTCTCTCTCTCTCTCTCTCTCTCTCTATATATATATATATATATATATATATATATATATATATATATATATTAAAAACTAACAATGTATGACTGAAATAATACGATATTAAATGAAACTATTGGTAAAAATATTTATGAATTAAAGTTCATCACTACTGTATAACTCCTGATAAACAATTCTAGGAGACAAAATATACAAAAACTGAAAATTCTCATTTGACAAATTAACTAGAGAGAGACTCCATTACATGAATAACAACGATATGAAAAATAGCTAAGTACTCGGCATAAAACATATGATTAGTGTTTATTACGAGGAAGTAATATATTTACAAATGCCGAGACGGTTCTAATGTACGAAGTCAAAAACAGAGAACTACTGCAACCATCATCAAAAAGTATCAATTATTTATAAACAACTATCTGTGTACCATAACTTCGTCTGGAGCCCCTCTGGGGCTACTGCCGGTCCCAAGCCGGATAAAGGAGAAAGGTTGGCGACCCCATCCCGTAGAAAACTAAGTCACTATAAAAGACGCTAACCAGAAAAATTCAAACCATTCAAACTCTGCCCTGGGAGTTAGAAGGTCTTCATTTAGAAGAACTATGACGCCTCATGGTAAAAGCCGAGTTCTTTCGGAAGCCACGAGGCCGATGCCCCTTCTAACAACCAGAGCAACCATTTACTTAAGTACATGGAATGCTCGTACAATGTGAGAGACCGGTAGAGTCTTCCAAACTGCTGCATATTGTCTGTGTACTATACTCAAGACCCGTAGGCCGGACACCATCAGCAAAAGCCTACTGTGGTAGAGATTAAACCAGCTTACAGCTGAAGAGGAAATTAAGAAACGACGTTGGAGATAGGTAGGACACAGTCTGAAGAATCCATTAAACCGCATCACAGACCAAAGAACATATGGGATAGAGAATTAGAGCAGATAGCAAAATTATGAACATAAGTTGACAACCATTGGGAAGGAAAGCCTGAAACAGTTATTTAGAGATCCCTGGTCGGCAGCTTATGCTTCACAAGGGGAAACAGGTGTAAGTAAAATATCGTCGTAGTTAATTAGAAACTATTGTTCATCTTTTATTAGATACAATTTTTTTTAAAAAATACATGGAACTAATATACTCAGAAACCTTTGATTATGAATTGACATCTGAGGAAAGTTCAACTGTTCCCAAGTAATGCATATTCGAATATACACATCATTCGATGAAATTGATAAATAGCGATTTCTACACACAGCAAAACCCTATCAGAACACTGAGGTCTGTAGTTAAATATATTTGTTGAACTAAATTGAATGTGTTGTTTAATAAAATACAGTGCACATGACATCATGATTAAACCGACAGAAACTGAGAAGAATTAAATTAACCCTTCCACAATCATTGATAAATTGTTATTGTAGAAAAGAGATAAATAATTCTAATGTTTAGAGTACTTTGGATCGATAGTTGCTGTCTTAAATAAAACCCTGATTGAAAACCATGTAAATTAGTGACTAGTAGTTAGTTAAATTGTGGTGTATGCTACTGATATTGACAGAAAGTGGAATGCCTGGAGGCAGGAGGTAGAGAAAACAGAAGAGGGTGATTGGTACGGAAACAAAGGAACAACAAAATCTGAGACAATTGATGGATATTTTGTAAATGAAGTATCACTGCATGGCTCTCAGATCTGACCACGATAGTCTGTAGTGTTGTATTAAAATACATCTGGTTGTCCCCGCTTGTGTTCTCGCTCACTACAAAATAATGAAGAAAGCAACTTAGTAAGTGTAGGTTAAGCCATATGTTATCGTGCAAGTGTGAAGAAACTAATTTTATTATTCAAGAAAAACAAATGGAGTGAGGTCTGGATATATGCTAAATGTGAAGTGCTCAAACCAATGACCTTTGACTTCCCTGCTTAGTGAGAACCTGATGAAATAGTGATATTGACATGTGACATCATATTTAGTCTGTTTGCCATAAGATATGTTAGAAAAACCTTCACGGAGTACATTTTTAGTCGATAAATTTATCTCCCTGTATAGTCGCGGAATAGAATCCTTACCCTTGTATAATAGGTGCGATGCATATATTTGTGAATAATTGTGAATCTTCTGATAACGGTGCGCCACCACAAACAATATAACGAATTCGCCCACCCATGAGCGATCTAACCTTACGGAAAACCAATCGATCCACAAGGAAACTTGGAAAACCACCGTGAATTCGTCGACATTTGTAGGCATATGCAAATTTGAAGAGCTATATGAAAAAAGATAACATGAACAAGGTAATACTAACAAACATTTTTATGGTAAGAAAAAGAAAAGAGATGGCAAACAGTGTTACTTTATTTAAATATCAAAACTAGTTCAAATTATTTGTTATTCTAGGATTATCCATTTTTACTGTTAACGATATTATATCTGAAAAGATAATTTCAAACGAGACTGTGTTTGTCAATTCACTGGAGAGACTTAGCAATCTACTGAATCTGAGAAGTCTATAATATATAAAAATATATTACACAACACAGTCGGATAATATACCTACAAAATATACACACGAATATCATTGACGGGGTGGCAGCAGAGGAATCCAGAACATCAATTATACTTGTAAGACGTGTACTACGATTCATTATGCACTAGCTAGCATCAAAAGTCATTAAAACCATTCGATAAAACCTTTGCTAGTTTTCTATATTTTTTAAAGCTTTTAGGCTTGCTAAGCTGAGAATGCATTCGAATGAACAGAAATGATAATTTATATGAGCTATTTTCAATTCACTGTTATACACATTTTTAAGATTGTCAAAATGATTTAGCATGATTTTTAAAGTAATTTTTTATATCTTGCATGTTTAAAAAACTCAAAAATTTTCAGTCCAGCTTTTTTTTATAGACATCTTTTACAGTCAACCGTTAGCCATTCCAGTTTACATCATATCAAAGTAGGGCTAGCTTGGTATAGATATAGATTGAACTGAAAAATAAGTGTCATAAAATTACGATGTTTTACAAAGATTTACGTCAAGTTTTTTTATCCAGACAATTGCAAATACACACAGGTACAAAATTATATTATTGCTTATTTTTCAATTAGCATTTCATATTACAATATTCTCATTATTACTGAATGACCACCATAAAAATAATTCATAAAAGTTGATATGATTTGATATTTCTATCAATAAGATAACCAATTTTTTTTAAACAAAATGCTACAACAAAGACAATATGAGCTAATAGGTCAATAATTATCACCATAATGTTTGGTTATAAATATAAGATTGAACATATTAATTGCGATTATGTAACAATTAAAAAGAAAGAAAGATAAATAATGAGTCAACTTGGTAACATGTTTAAAACGGGTATAATTTAATACAATTGATTAAGTCAATCAATAGTTATTAATGCATGCAGATTAATTGTAGATAAGACTGGAGGACACAAAATGATGTAGATAAACTTCAATACAAAATCAGCCACGATGACACACGTGTATAGTTAATGATAATAACAGTGTTTTATTTGCTATAAAGTAGACATGACCTTATGCTAAATTACTACCTCTAATTTTTATTCGTTAAACAGTAAAGCTGTCAACATTTCACAACAACCGGGTTATATCAACGTTATTTACAGTTAATTAATTTATTAATGTGAACTATAAAATACAAGAATCTCAATATAAAGTTTCTATTTAGATTTTAATAAAATCAGATTTTGAGAAGTGATTCAATGTAGTAAAAATCACTGTTTATGATGACCTTTTCTATTAATAATATGTGCTTAGTTATATATTCTAGTGAGACATAAACCAGTTAACTGTTTAGATTCTTGAGGTAAACGAAAACATTCCACAATTTGCCACAGAATTGACAGTAAACATTGTACTGACATAAGATATATAAGGTGGTTTCACAAATGAAAGTAATGTCTGTAGCGGAAATCTTAAAATGGATGATAACTCATCCACACATGACTCATTCATTAATCAGGTTTGATGTAAACCGATAATGCATGATCTGTATGACACTACCCATGCAGCCAAGCCAAAATGGATGCTAGCAGTAAGGTTTCAAACTGAGATCCAATGCTTAGAGGTCGATTGACTTAACTTATAAGCACATAATTTTCTGAATTTAACCGAGCGTTAACAATAATCCGAAAATCACCGCGATAGTTCTACATAAATTGTGTGTTACCGGTCGATTACAGCAACGCGTATTCATGGTTTTCGATAGAATACCTCTAAAAATTATAAATCAAATGCAGAGCATCGCGATATTTAGCTGCTAATAATAGTGGTCACATTGTACACTTGTTAGACAGAATTTAACGGCACCAAAAAGTAAATAGCTATGTGTCAGTGAGCGATTAGTCAGTCAGCTACAACGTAGGACCAGACACATATATGCATCGGTTCAAGTTGCCATACCTCATTAACACAACAAGATGGACACCGGATCCATAAAAGTAGTTAATTCAGAGGTGGTAATATATGAAAGAAAGATTGTGTATAAGGATATAGTACAGTCATCTGTGTATTCTAAGTCGATAAGTGGACCTCCTGGAAGGAGATCAATACCCGAGAATTCAGTCGACGAGAATGTTATTCCCATCAGTAGGTCTATGATGAAGTTAAACAAAAATGGAAAAAGTGGACAGCCTTGACGGACACCACTTGAGGTTAGGTTGCAAAAGTAGATGACAGTTCGCCATAAGCTCTGATTCGACTGGTATTGTTCGAGTAAAGTCTTCACAAGGTTTATGTACTTCTGAGGTACGCCTTTCAATGACAGACACTGCCACAGAATCTCGCGGTCTACCGAGTCAAATGCTGCTTTTAAGTCAAGAAAGACCGCCATTCTTGGACGCCGATAAGTATGTCTGTGTTCTAGAACCTGACGAATGGTGAGTATGTGGTCGATGCAGCCACGACCAGGTCTGAAGCCAGCTTGATTCTCTCGTGTTTGCAGTTCACGAGTCTTAGTTATGCGTCTGATAATTATCGAGGCTAGTATTTTAGATACTATATTAGTTAAACTAATCCCTCTATGGTTGTCACAGGATGATTTTAACCCTCTCTTATATATTGGGACGATAAGTGATTGTGACGTGAGCGATTAATGTGCATATATTTGTACGAACCATGTTTATATATGATCTGATGATGATGGTACTGGTGCTTCAAATAGTGCTACGCAAATTAAATATTATATGCAATTTTATGTTACGTTATTCAAACTGTCGTGCATGCTACTTATGTCGACAGACATAAACAGTATGTAGCACTAATCGGAAGTGGAAAACCAGGCAGCAGGAGGCTGAGAAGATCAAGTTTAAGAATATAGAAAGGGAAATAGAAAGTAATTGTGACTTAGAAGAATCATATATAATCTGAAGGACAAATGATGGAATTTTGCAAATGAAGTACTCGATGTATGGTTCTTATATTTTATCAAAAGATTTGATATTCAAATACAACCGGTTATCCCCACCTGTTTTCTCGTTCACAGCAAAACGACATCTTTGGAGGAAAAGCTTATTATTTGGACATTTAAATAATGAACAAATTCTAGACCATGGTACTTTTTGAATTCCGTGGAAAAAGATTCGCCATATGATACGTCATCACAGTGCATCATACTCTGTTTTAGACATTGTGGAAGAAAGGACATTACCCAGTAAGAAATCAACTACACTCAATAACGTTATTTCATAAAGTTTAAAAATATTGAGAACTAGATCACGAAGGTTAACAACTAAAGTGAACAAATGCATATGATGCTACAAAACTACCAGTCGCCGTTCAAAAAGTTTGAGATTAGTGTTTTTAATTTCAGTATTGACAGATGTAAATTAAATTCTTGAATAAAGAATGAGCTTACTGATAAATAAAAATACCTCTTGTCAAGCCCTAACAGAAAAATACTCAGTGCTTTTCCAGAATACCAATAACCGGATAACTGTGAGGTTGATCGTGGTATACACTTCCAACCCGTAATATGTAAGGAATTTCATAAAGATCAATCAATACAATAAGTTAACTACTGTTTACCATAGAGATAAATATCAGTACTTTTTATCTATAATAAATGAAACAATAAACGAAAGCTTATTACATTACTTATTAACGATGGTGACGCTAGAAAGACTTAATAATGAAATCAGAATCTTTAACGTAGAGTATATCAATTAGAAACATTTTGATGTAAACTTACAGCTTGAAGAAATTCACCGCCAGCGTTTACTTTTTCCCAAACAGCCTTAGAAATACGTTCTAATACAGTAGGCACACTGGCAAAAAGAGTTGGTCGAAGAAGACTGACATCACCCAAGCAGTGATCTCGTTTAATACGGGATGAAGTGTCTGTTAATGTCTGTGGATTCGAGTAACCAATCTGTGAAAAATTTATGACAATATAATAAAGCTTAGCAATCATATATAGATGTGCATCAAGTCCACTTTGACTGTACATAACGACAAAATCATGGTGTCTTCCAACTAAAGAACGAGTTTACTGCACAAAGGATGGATGTGAAGCATGGTCATCGAGAGTAGAAGATATCTGTATGTTACTGGTATTTGATTAAATACGTCTACAAAGCATCGCTTATATATTTTGGGATCACGGAGTAAGCAATGCCAAGATTATGAGTAGGATACTGGGTAAGAACAAGAAATCGATTGACGAGTTAGTAAATCTTCATCAAATGAGGTGGTTGGGACATCCGATACGTATGTCCAACCACCCCCTAGCTCGATGGGTGGTGTTTTCTGGTGAAGTAGGCTGGAAGAAAGATAGGGGCGGCCAAACTAAAAACATGGTATCAGTCTATGGAACCACTGACAATTTTCTTAGCCATGTAAAAAAGGCATAGGTAGCTCCTGAATTCCTCAAATTTTTTGGTCTTAATTTCACTAATTTATGTTTTCTACTTGAATCGTATCTCTTCTATTACCACTGATAGTTACTACCTCTACTATTCTAGGGTTTGGCCTGAGAACTTCGTTGCTTTGTGCTAATGGAGTATGGCACCTTGAACCGACGTACATATGTACCAGGTTCCATGTTGTGACTGACTGATTGACATCTGTATTATAAGACATAAAGTATAAACTTTTATCTGAAGTTTATGCTTTAGCAAAGCCGTTAATATACAAAGATTTAAACCAAATTTGAGCTTAGAAGAACAACGTTGTCGATTGTTCTTTGCCTTGATGACCATAGTTTTAAGAATTGGCTACGTGACACTGATTTCCTCACACCCTTAATTCTTTTCCTTTTCTTTTCGTTTCCTAAGCTAAACTTGACTCAGTTAACTCCGTGGCATTTAGTATCATATAACCTCTGAAATTGATCTTCTATTACTAGAATCTTGTTTTCATGCTTTTCTCAGTTTACTCTGCTAAGATATCCGTATATTCATCTTATACTTACTTACGCCTATTATCCCTTGTGGAGCATAGGCCAGGATTCTCCAACCAACTACTTCCTGAACTCTTTTTCCTAGTCAACAACTGTATACAAACCATTTAATCTTTTTATAATAATTGTCTTCTGAATACTATTCTACATCTATATCAATATTAACATTAACCAAGACTTATTTTGATTTTAATAATTAAAACTAGTTTCTAAATTGTAAGCAACTGGAAAGAATTTATGAAATAAAAGAAATTCATATCACTCCGCCTGTAGCACTTCTACGGTTATTGTCGATTTTAATACCGGATAAAGGAGGGGGGTTGGGTATGGGCTCAACAACCACTTCCCGTACAAAACAACCTTGTTAAGAAACGCTAACCAGAAAAAAAATCCTTTATACCATTTAAACTTTGCCCTGGGAGTTGGAGGATCTTCATCTAGGAGAATCATGACGATTCCTAGTGAAAGCCGATATTATTTAGAATTCACGAGGACGATATACCCCTTCTAACAACCAGTGACAATTAATGAGGGTACATGGAATGTCCAGGCAATGTATGAGACCAGAAGGACTAATCAAATAGCCACGGAAATGAGATACAAATTGGCAGTGCTCGGAATCAGTGGAACGCATTGAATTCAAGCTGGACAGAAACGGTTAGATTCGGGAGATACTGTTGTACTTTGGCCACGAAGAAGAAAATGCTCCACACATTCAGGGAGTTACCCTGATGTTGTCCAAAGAAGCACGACATACACTTATAGAATGCGAATCTCATGGATCAAGAATCATCAAAGAATACAAAGAACAAGGGGATCACAATGGATGTTATCCAGTGATAGCAACGACGACGATAAAGATTAGTTTTACGAGATCGCAATCGATCATAGAGAAGTGTCTAGGAAAGAATCTGACCATCCTGATCGGAGACCTAAATGCTGAAGTCGGAATGGACAACACCGAGTATGAAGATAGCATGGTACGACATGAACTGGGAGAAAGAAACGAGGATAGTGACAGATTTGCAAATCTATGTGCATTCAACAAAAGTTATAGGTGGTACAATATTCCCCCACAAACGCATACACTAGTTACATGGGTTTCACAGAATCACACTACGCAGAACCAGATATATCATATTTGCATCACTAAAAAATTTAGAAGGTCAATGGAAGACGTGAGAACAGGGAGAGGAGCTGACATAGCTTCAGATCACAACCTGGTGGTTTCCAAAATGAAACTGAAGCTAAAGAAGCAATGAACAACAGTTCTACTGAGCAGAGCTGGAACTTAGAGAACTACTACAACCATAATCAAAAAGGTACAGGTACTTATAAACAATTGTCCACACAAGATACTCAATGTCCGTTGATCGGATACCATTAGCAACAGCCTACTGTGGGAGAGAAAAGAATCGGCTTTTATTTGAAGAGGAAATTAGGAAAAGGCGTTGTATATGAATAGGACATACATTACGGAAACCACCAAAATACATCACGAGGTAAGCACTAACTTGGAATCCTAAAAGGAAACGGAAAAAGGAAGGTCGAAGAACATACTACATCGGGAATTAGAAACAGACATGTAAAGGATGAATAGCAACTGAAAAGGATTGCCCATGACAGAGTTCGATGGAGAACGCTGATAGGTGGCCTTTGCTCCTCCACGAGAGGCAACAGGCGTAAGCAAGTACAATTGTTTCTCTTTACTGTAATTTAAACTGACTATTTTAAACAAGAATATTGTAACAAAAAAAGTATGAAGAAAGTTGTCATGAAACTTACTCGTACACCCATAATGACACAGGATAATTCACAGGTAAGCTCTAAAACATGAGCTAGTGGTAGATATCCGACATATATGTCGTAATTACTACGAAGTTTCGGTAAACGTTGTAGATGACCAGCTATGGCACTTACTAAATTTTCATGGGTCATTTCAACGCCTTTAGGTTGACCTATACAACATAAAAAATGAACACAACTTGAAATTTGAATTAAATATATTTTCATTATCAAGCTGATACGTTAGAACAAAATACCCATTTAGTCCAAGGAACATGTGTTTAACCGGGTCAAAACTTACAAAAGCAACAATAACAAACTATCAAATAAGTTGAGATTAAGGTGGTTGAAAGTTGTTCGTTTATTTCAAATAAAGGAAATCAATGTAAGGTAGGTGATTTTGGTACGTCAATGTACCAAGCTTTTTTGTGTTCCAACTCAATAAGAATAGGTGAAGAAAAAGAAAATACTAGCCACTTATGACCAAACTAATTAGTAACAGTATTAACGTAACTTTATAATCAAATACTGTTCTATGTGTTTGGTTCAAACTTTCACATGAGTTGCTAGTGGCAAAACTGGGTTACCTGAAGTGGAGTTAGAAAATGTATAGTAAATAAACTACCAGAAATTAGATTTAGTCATTTTTATATAGCTATCGCCAAAAATGCACTAAACCATTTTGTGACCATAAAATTAATGAAAACGACACAACACTGAAAAGTTTGTAATATGCTTTAGGAATTAACGAAAATATAAATTCCATAAATAACTTTAAAAATATTTTGACTAATTAATCAGAATAAAAATTGCAATGAAAGTTAAGAGTAACTCAGTTGAAATATAAAATTGTTATTTTTGGTTGTTTTAATGTCAACAACATTTCCCGAACTGAAAAATTATGAGAGAATTTCCAATCTTTGTTAGATATAATTGTCGAAGCTAACTAATATAAAACAATATATATAAACGACCAATATTGTTTTCGATTAGATCCTCATCAGGCTTTACTCTAGTATACTAATATAACAGTGAATCATGTATACAATCGTGACTAATCTGTATATGTATTATTTCAACAATAAATTTTAGGTGAACAATAATTTTGTTATGACGACCACACCCAATGCACAAAATACATGTTCACATCTAGTATATATGCTGTTCGTTTATAAACTAATGCGTAGGGTAAACAATTTTTAGTTTGTATGAAGTAAAATTTAACTCCGCCTGTAGCTCTTCTCGAGTTACTGCCGATCCCAAGCCCACGTGAAGAACTGTGACGCCTCATGGTGAAAGCCGAGTTCCTTCGGAAGCCACGAGGCCGATGCCCCTTCTAACAACCATAGAAACAACCTTTATAGGTACATGGAACGTCCGAACAATGTGGGAGACCGGGAAGACCAGTCAAATAGCAACGGAAATGAGAAGATACAACTTGGCAGTACTGGGAATCAGCGAAACTCATTGAACCCAAGCTGGACGACAAAGGCTCAATACGGGAGAGATGCTGCTATACTCCGATCACGAAGAGGAAAATGTTCCATACACTCAGGGAGTCGCTCTAATGCTGTCCAAAGTAGCACGAAATGCACTTGTAGGATGGGAATTTCACGGATCCAGAATCATCAAAGCATCATTCAAAACAAAGAAGGAGGGGATTACAATGAATATCATCCCATGTTATGCACCCACCAGCGATAGCAACGACGATATTAAAGATCAATTCCACGAGAGGCTGCGATTAACCATAGAGAAGTGCCCAAGAAAGGACCTCACCATTCTGATGGGAGATCTATACGCCAAAGTCGGAATAGACAACACCGGATATGAAGATATCATGGGACGAAATGGACTGACTGGGAGAGAAAAACGAAGATGGGGAAAGATCTGCAAATCTGTGTGCATTCTACAAATTGGTCATAGGCGGCACAATATTTCCACACAAACGTATACACAAAGCTACATGGACCTCACCGGACCACACCACAGAGAACCAGATAGATCATATTTGCATCAATAAAAAGTTTCGAAGGACAATGCAAGATGTGATAACTAGGAGAGGAGTTGACATAGCTTCAGATCACCACCTAGTTGTGGCCAATTTAAATCTGAAGTTAAAGAAGAACTGGACAACTGGACAAACAGCACTACAAAGGTTCAATACAGACTTCCTTCCTCAACAACAGGTACCAAGCCTTACACGATCTACTGAGTGAAGAAGAAACTACTATGGAGGACAACTAGAAAGGTATCAAAGAAGCATGAACTTCAACGTGTCAAGAGGTTCTGGGCCTCAAGAAGCATCATCATAAGGAATGGATTTCTATAGAAACACTGGACAAAATCAAAGAACGGAAGAACAAGAAGACAGTAATTAACAACACGATTGATCTGATAAACTCTATGATGAATAGTAAATCTTGTCAGTTGCACCGTTTGTTCAGTGCTATATTTATATGTAAAAAAATCCGATGTCTTTTATTGATCCTAACTATGTCAAACAACTGATACTAAATGAATTACTGCCAAATATTGACTGCTATAGATCAATGAAAGACAATCTTCATTGTTTCTTCCAGATTCAACTAATCTGAAGGTAGAGGGTAACCGCCAAAAGATTTTTTAGATCCAACAGATAACCGGTACACAACTTTTGCATACAAATATTTTAAGTAAATTGGTGTATTAAAAAAACAAACAGACTATAGATAGAGCCGTTAAGGGTGAAAAAAGCATGGATATATCCTAGACAGTCAGTCATATGTAACGTACAACCTAGGCTCAAGTTTCCACACCGTATTAACACAGCGATATGAAACTATCAAGGCAAACAGCAGAGTAGTAACAATAACAGTAGTAGTATTAGTAGTAAAAGTCAAGTATAGAAAAATAAAGACTTGGACTCAGGATCTAGTGGTAGAAAATGAGTGAATACGTCTGGGTCCCTGAGAATAATCCTGAGCCGTATCAACCGACGTTTCCAAACACTAGTTGCGAGAATGGTGCGAACTTCCTAGGGTTAGAGCAGTCTGAACCTACCTACATGGCTGGTCCCCAGTCAATGATTTTAAGGACTGATGTTACGCATTGGTTTGGTCACTCATACATTTTACTCAACCTACTCCTATGCCGCCCAACATCACCTATCGGCGTAATGGTGGTTGGGGATGCGTAATATCTTATGCCAGTATTTGACCACAGATGCCTCAGAAATATTGCTGGCGTCTGCTGGGATCACCGGATAAGTAATAATGAGGTTAGACGCAGGGTATTAGGGAAGGATGGTAAATCAGTCGATGAGGTTGTGAATCTTCATCGACTGAAATAGGTGGGCCACGTGTTACGTATGCCCGAACACCGATTACCACGACGTGCAATGCTAACCGGTGTTCGAGATGGTCGGAAGAAAGTTAGGGGCGGCCAAACCAAAACGTGGCATCAGTGCTTGAAGTCACTAACTTCTAGTCTGAGCCGTGTTGGTAGATGCAGACTACTTGGTTGGAGTCCGCGTGACTGTCGTAACCAATGGTTGGAGATTCTTGGTGACATGGCTCAGAATCGATCACAATGGCGTCGGTGTATACACTCTCTGTCTTCCCTTGAACTAAGAGATTAAAATCACTTCATATCTTCCTTTCTTCGCAGTAAATCTTTCTTCCTGTACTGTATCCTTATTGCAATCTTTCTTTTACATATTACCACCTCTGAATTAACTACTTTTATGAATCCGGTGTTGTGTTGATGAGGTATGGCAACTTGGACCGATGCATAAATGTGCCTGGTCTTACGTTAGAGCTGACTGACTATGCCAGTTGACGAAAATGGACTGCATAATCAGCTGATTTTCCATCTTAACATAACATCATAAGCTTAATTTGAACATTCTACACTCGGTGATCCCAACATACACGAGCAATAATTCGCAGGTTACTAGTATTCGATCATATATGTCTTCGAAACATTGCTCGTATATCATGGGACCATCGAGTAAGTAACACAGTTGTTAGGAAACGGGTACTAGGTAAGGATGGCAAATCAATTGATGACGTAGTGAAACTTCAACAGTTGAGATGGCTGGGACATGTGTTACGTATGCCCAACCACCGACTGCCTCGATGCGCGATGTTTTGTTGTATAGGAGTAGATTGGAAGAAAGTTAGGGGCGGCCAGACCAAAATATGGCACAAGTCCATGAAGTCACTGACAAGTAGACTGAGCCATGTTGGTAGGTGTAGACTACCTGGTTGGGTACCGCGAGATGATAGCAACCGATGATTAGAGACCCTTAATGATATGGTTCAAAATCGTTTGCAATGATGCAGGTGCATCCACTCTTTGTGTTCTCCCGAATTCTAATCTTCTGAATTCTTTGTGTCTCTTTTTTTCTCTTTCTAAATTTATTTCACTGGATTAAACTCCATAAATAACATCTCCAAAACTTAATCTTTCCGATCACTGCTTATACTTTTACTACCTCTACCACTATGCGATTTGAATCGACAACTGCATCTCCGTGCTAATATGGTATGGCAACCAGAACTGATGTACGAACGTACAAAGTTCTACAATGTGACTGACTGACTGAATAATTCGAGGGGATTTATGATCGAAAACCAGTAACATACATATCTCCATATCTAGAAGTCACATTCCACAGAAATAAAGTATAACAGAACGGACTTTTGTGCAGTATAGATGCCCTTTGGTTGGTAGACGGACCACTTGTCTAAGCCGCAAGTGACGCAAAAGATAACCAACATTTCATTATTCAGAAACCTACCAAGGCTAATAAGACTTTCAAATGGTCGACACACCTAATTACATCACTTTTTATTATTAGTCTAAGCGTTGACGCATACCAGTCCTGAAGCAATATTTTGCATTTAGATGGGGAGAATCATATCTTAAACGCGTAAGTGTTGCCGCTCAAGGCGATTAGAAGACTAAATTGCACTGTTATTTTCATCATCTGCGTATTTTAACTTCGAAAGTGGATAGCCTGACACATGAACTTGTGAAAGATTAGAAGGAAACTTTATCTCCAAAGGAATATATACGAATAAATTAAACGAAAATGAGGAAAGCGGACAACCCTAACAAACATCACTTGATGATATCGATTATAGTTGAATTCATGAGTCGATTGAAGCTAGATCATCATGGAAAACTTAGAATCACTGAACCGCCATTTCATCCTAATATGGAACTTCTCAGCAGTGCAGTAAATCCACGATCCCGCTCGTGGAATTTGAACCCAGGGCCTTCGGTCTTGTGTGCGAACGCCCAATCCCTAGACCACTGTTCCGGCAACCAATGGTGTTAATGTCTAACATCAACCGATCCACGAAATTGAGCCACCGTCCACTATTACCTTCAGTGAGTTACTGCCTCACAATAGACACAGTTGAACTCCACTGGTCACGGCTTCTCACTAGAACTCCAAGAAATACCTCTTGAAGTTTCTAGGTTTTCCGTAGTGGTCTAGACTCATGAATTCAAATATTAAATTACCACAATCTCCACAAAACCCCCCTTTCTGATGAAATCGATTATGATAAGTTCACTACAAACTCTAAGTCGATCAAAAACAACTACAGTACAGCCACAAACAAATGAATATACTTGCACAGCGAAATAAAATACGTTCGCATGAGTCACATATTGAGATGAACACACACAGTCTAAAAAAACATGCCCACGAAAAATGAAGTATCTTTTAGTATGGCTTTCATTAGACTCAGATAATAACTTATTGAACAAGCATGACCACTTGATTCATGAATAAGTTTACTTAACGTCCTAACATCTGATCCTAAAAGACATAAATCGGAGGTTTAATTTTACCATAGTAATCCAGTATGTAGCACAACTATACTCAAGATTTTGCATTCTCCTCATTGTGGGAAATAAGAGAAAGTTTACTACTTACACTAAATCAATCATATATACATACTTAACAATACGAATATTGGTAACATTTTTCATTGTTGTATGAACGTTTGATCGCTTATTCGCTTAAACAAAATGAAATCAATAAATTCATTGCTGATAAAACTGTGAAACTAATTTTTATGCTTCACTTTTACCAGTGCTTACACAAACTTGAATTGATGAACAGTAATAATCTTACTATAATAGGTTTTGTTCATTCAAAACGAGGAAATGATGCAAGAATAGGGAGTAATATCCGAAAAATAAGGAGTGGTAAATTAATTGGACTGTTTGCTATTTTTGTCAGTTATCTGACAAGTAACAAATTATATCACAGTGTAGATTACAAAAATAGGTAGGATAGAATCAGAAAAAGAACCGAGGGGTGTTCAATTTTTTAACTGGTCTAGTAGGTACAAAGAGCCTATATAGAACTAAAATATGTTGGGCTGTCACAACCTCGTGGGTGCGGTTCTGGAGATTAAGCGACTAATTAGCTTGAAACATTATCTAATTTCGGTCAGAATACAGGGCAGTGACAAGCCTACTATAGTTCTTGTTATATTTCAAAAAGGTAGCACGAAACTTTTTAGGTGGTTATATCACAAATAAATACATAAAATACAATTTCGGTCACACATTCACAGTTATTTCAGAAGTTTTATCACCAATTAACTAATAGTGCTATTGAGAACAGAAATGTAAAAAAATAAATGTGTTGAAAAGTTAGTACCATGAAAGAAATAATTTCGTTTTATGTTGACAGATGAGTAGTATAGTAATTTACAAGAAACAGACTACTTTAGGTAGTAACACATGAACGATACGGTGAATAAGGAAATTCAGAAAATTACGTAAACAGAGAAATAAGCATTATTGTGATGATAGGTTGCTTGATATATACTACCAGTCTAAGACACTTGGCTTACTGCCAAGTAAAAGTCTTAGCTAAACTCGAAACTACACATTTTATGTAACAGGCTGGTCGGGTGTCTTCAAATATTGAAGAGCAATTGGGTATATATTAATCAAAACTTCCGATCCACATAGTTGAATAACGTTTAAATATGTGGGAATGTGTCTAATAAATGATTCGGGTGATAGAGATTTAATTGTTTAAAATACTGAAATATAGTCTTCTAAACAAAGTAATTACCTAAGCTTGTTGTATAAAATGTCATCATATACATGATAAATGCACAGAACATAATAAGATAATTGGTTCTTATATATGCAACTTTCAGGATTAATATCAGAGTAACATTTGTCACTAATACTTTTCAGGTACAGGGAATAAATCACTTTTCTACGTACAATTCAACTTTTAGAATACAGGTAAACAGCTTGTTGGTACATTTCCAAGGTCCATATATTTATATGCATAGTCAAAAAATAATAAACTGAAGAATTCGATAGGTACAAATAAGCTATAAAGAAAATTATAATAGTTCATTAAAATCGATGGATAAGTGAAAACACTGAAATCGCCAAGAAACAGTGTACAAATTATACCTGTTGATCCACTTGTGTACATAATCACAGCTAAATCCGAGGGACTGGCACGTTCTGATGCAGGAGGCATCCATAAACCCTCATAACCGTTCGATGAGTGATTATTATTCCCTGTAATTGGTGTGGAACCACCCATTTTTCGCTTTTCTCTATCTTTCATGATTACTGCAGCTCCCAAACGTTCGACTTCGACTATATTGTGTAGATGTAAATTTGACGGACATTTTGTCAGAGCTTCTGCAACACTAGCGGTAGCACTTTCAGAAGGAACAGCGAGGTTGTCAACTTCTGTATAAAGTTCTCGATTAAAAACTCCATTTGTGAAGTAGATAATACGTTGAATCGAAGGACATCGTTGAACAATTTTAATTACTTTTGATAAGAGCTCATCGCTTGTGAACACGACCACAGCCTGAGATTAAAATAAAGTCCACACATAAAGTTTCTTATTGAATATGCAAAAACATGTTTAAACAAACTGAAGTTACAAGCAAAAAATAGATGATGGCTGATTAGAATCACTAACAAGCAATAAAAACGATCGTCAAGTTATTAGGTAAGAACGCAATGATAATCACTGAACAGCTGAGCTGAAATATTATCGTTGTTAGACAATTCCAGCTAATGTAACGCGTTACACGATGGTTCCAGCTACACTCTCTTAGCCTGCTCAGAGAGCTGATACAATTAGGTTACTTATTTATGAAGTACAGATAACTTAAAGTACTTCACACTGACAATGTGAACGTTAGTGACACTGTTAGGTTGTAAAGCTGAAGTATAGTGGGTTCCAAACCAGCAACCCACTCGCTGAATCCCGTAAACAACGATTCTCCTATTTACCGTACTTTCATCATGTGTTGCCTCCAAACTTGACCATTCAACTATTGTCACGTAGAAAGAGAATACATCAATTTATATTGTGAGTGAAACTAAATTAGAACAGAAACTACTTGCAGTTCACCAAGCTATGAGTAAGTGAGAAAGTAACCAACAGGTCGGATTAAGACAGCACCAAAAGAGCTTAAATTGCTAACGAACATTTTCACGTAACCTTAGCATGTTTTATGTCACATAGTAACTGTGACGAAAGACCTTTTGTACCATGTTACTCCTTTGGATCATTTGGAACTCCATTTGTTACTTCTCGTCGTAATCAACAAATGTTTCGGACATATAGCTTGATGAAACACTTGGAACAATGATGCATCGGAAAATGTGCTACATTAAACTACATATATATAGTTCGAAGATCAAGATAAGTGTACTGAAGCAATAACTCCATAATGGAGCGTTGAATGTGTAAAATATATTAGAGACAAAAACAACATTTACAGGGATGAACGTACTGATTAAGAATTTTGTAGTTATATTACCAAGACATCCAACTCCCCCTCCCTTGATAATTACATGGACCGTAAGACAGTAGCTGAGTAGTCAACATTCAATTAATAAGAACACCTTAGATTTATTAGCTATTACAATCAAACTGTGTCGATTGCCGCCACCAGCTATTAACAATTATTTAACCGGTTTTTCCTAACCACAGCTTTGGTTGGTCATATTTACTGGTTACTTTCACCGTAACCCACCGGATATGTTCTCGAGAACCAAAGTTAATAAATGAAAATGTAAGTGATTTTTAACAGTTCTTGCTTATATTACAATCAATTAAGCTTGGTTATTACCAGCTTATATCTAGTCTAAAGCACCTTGAACTACTAACGTGTCATAGTTAACTGAGTGACACATTATCGAACTATCAAATAGCTAAAAGCTACATTTAAAAGATACACCTGACATTTTCTGAGCCAGGATTCAACACCAACCACTGAAGCTCAATCTAGACGATGGATTGAACAACTTGATTTACGTCATTTCAAAAAGAATACTCTATAGTTGGATCTGACAGTAAATTTAGACTAATCTTTAAAAATGTGGACAAAAATATTAAGTAAACTCAGAGATATGTAAACATTGTCAGACGAGCCAATAAACTAGGTAAAATGAATGCAATCAGTGAAAAATGTATTTGACAAGTGTAACAATTTACTGACTTCAGTTTCATTAAATCCATGTACCAATGCATCGTCCCCGAGAGTGGCGTACAAAGTAGCAACAGGTCGGTTGAGACGAAAGCAGGCCTGAGCAGCAAACATCCACTCAGCTCTTGTTTCACTAAATAGGGCAATGGGCTGATTATGTTCCTTAACGGACCCCAACATTGAATACAAACCAGCTGCTAGATGAGATACTCGACGTTCAGCGTCCCAAAATGTCTCCCAAGAGTACTCACCCAAAGTGAGCTCAATCATTTGTCGTCCGTCAGGACTCAGCTAGTGTAGAACAAAATCATACGAAATAAGAATATATAATAAACACAATACATGAATCATTTCTTATGGGGAAGTACCTACTTACCACTATACTCACCAAAAAAAACGAAAACACACTAAGACTTAGAAGTGAGAATTACTTGACACAGAAGCGTTTAAGGAATCCATATTCCCTGAACATCATATGAATTGCTTGGTTTACATTAATATGGGAACGAGATGATAGTTTCGCAACAATATCACTTCACGACCTTTCCTTAGATGGAATATACAATTCTAGCACGTACCAGGCATTTTATTTCACTTATACAACCATGGATGACTGGAAGTACACATAGAACATCCAGCTTTTAAACCAATGAAAGGAATAATCAGACAAACATTCGTGGCACGTACTTGAGAAGGTTCATATCAAGATATTCGTCAACAGATGTAAACTGTTATTTCACTGAATATGTGGGGGAATTCCAAAAACAATTTAATTAGACAGAAAAATATAAAACTAGCTTGGAACGGTGAGAATAATGTGGATCTTGCTGTTCAATTTCACCAAACACATGAAGTTTAGCGAGGTGTGACTGGTGAGGACCTGTACATTGATGAGTGACGGATTCTGAGTGATCAAGTCGCCGGGAACTTTCACGGGTAACGTTAATAGCAGGCTGGTAATCTGATCCCCCACACAACTTCAACATGGCAAAATGAAGGTAAAACTTGAATAGGAAAGAATTGTAAGCCATAGTACAAATGATGGTAGTCTAAAAATGAATGGTAGGGTCCTAAAGGGAATGAAATAGCAGTATAAAACGTATCAAATAATGCTGTAACTCAAAATCGTCGGGGACACACAGTGAATGTGTCCATGCTTCAATAACCCATCCGAACTATTTTCAGCCTTTACAAATGTTACTTAGAATTAACAGATCATACTGTCTCCGGAACCAACTTTAGTGGATAATAATTTAACAAACCAGTTTATCGAGTGACAAGTTACGCAGTTATGTCTTCCGTTCTGATGACACTTGGTATTCTTGGCGTTGGTAGTTTGAAATTACTAGTATAATCCATCACCCAGCAATTCGAAACTCATTCCAGTAGGAATGAAGGAGAAGTTTTTTTCAGTTACTTCTTCGACTGAATAACCGACCAAAGAGTCATGTAAACAAAAACCGTCCACTACGTATATCAACACTCATATGGGCTTCATTACTTCATCTCGAGAAGTTACTTAAATAGTGTGGTCAGAACGTCCTGTATGAAACTCACTCGGTAGTCCGTGCGTAGGACAGCTCTTGTTCCAAACGCAGGCAAATCGGGCCACAGCTTAACTGTACGGAGCCAAACATCAACCAAATCTTTACACCCAGGAAGTGAACTCGTCAGACCATCGAGGGCTTCAACTGCTCTCCATGGCGAACCGGGATCACCTTCACGTACAGGAAGTGCCAAAGTCCGACTTTCTTCTTCATTATATGTCCAGTCGCTGTCAACAGGAGAGTTGGGCAGTGGCATATATCTCAATGTTTTGCTGAATAAGTAGTACAGTGGCCATGTTAGATACTCATAAGCATAAACAACTATCTTTATAACTTCAATCCCAATTGGAACCAGAAGTTTTGAGAGACACCTCATAGTGAATCCACACAAGATCGATGTGAGCCTCCCAATAGAGTGTTGAATGCGCGGGCCAATCTTGAATCCATTCAAGGTTGAACATTTGACAGGAAAATGATCTGATGAAATCCTCAGTATTTACGACAGTGGATCGACTGACCAGCGTTTTTCTCCTCAGCAAGTGATAATGTGAAGGTCCTGTGTTCTTTTGAAACTGTGGAACAATTTTTCACAGGAAACATTCCGTCTTTCACCAATTAATACATAAAATAGAATTACACTTTGCGATTATTAAATCAGGGCTTCTGATGGCATTGGAGTTGATCAGCTTCAGAGAGAAGAAAACAATGGCTAATGATAACACTCGAACTATTATTACAGATAACAATTTCACTATTTTGGTCACGATATATTTGGTCAGCTGCGACACGAATATAAGGTTATCTTGCGTTCTACGAACGGATAAACAGAAGTCATCCGGGTATCTTATTTGCTTCTTGCAAAAGGATCTTTCATTAACCTCAGGTCTACGCATTGAATACTTCTGACTGTGTTGGTATCCTTATTAAGATGTGGAGTAGCTGTCTGTATCCATCATTATAGAACAAGCGTAGTGTTTGTGCTAATTAAGAATTTCATTACACATCATTTCGTATATGATTGGAATTGACATCACGATTCACTCAAGTATGGCCAGCGCTCTCTCTTTAGTTCAAATAATGATCTATTTGTGACAACTGGTCTACGAATTGGACGGTCCCGGGCAATCCTACTTCAGGTCACATATAGATAAGGTTTAAAATGTAGATTTTACGTAGGTTCAATGAAATGTCACTGAACCCCAGCCTAATTAATCATGAAGCTGAATCTCTCCTAAGTTACACAACAGATCACTTGGAGTTGGACAGTTTGTTGGACGTCGTGACGGTGAACGATGATTAGCGTGAATTAACTAAATTGACACCATGAACTGGCGCATGCGGCAGTGACGTTTTCTTACTATCCTTTTCTTTATTGTGACCATATTCGTTCTACATTTCCGTCAAAATAGCCACGGGACTGGGAGATCACGAAAGGCCAATATACTTTCGATATTAATTCCGTGTGACGTCGACATAAGCTAGGTGGTCACACCATTTCAGTTTAAATGCAGTAAACCTCGGTCAGTAAACGAAATTTTTAAATCATTCATCCGTACATATTCTCAAAGCACTACAAAATCCCACTTCGTTTACAAAACAAGTAAAACCCAGTAGCAGCTGATGCATTGAGTAATGCACCTAATATCATGTCATGACTTACAGGTTTACAAGGGTTAATTCGATCCTGCATTTGAGAAGTGATGATTTAAGAACAATAGTAGGTCTAGTGAAAGTTCACTACACCCTAACAAATTGTGTGTTGAGTTTGTAGGTCAACAATGTTGGCGATCAATTTGGAGGTTACAAGTGTGTACTGCATAAGATGACAGTAAACGTACTGATAGTAAGGAATAGTGTGGTCTTTGAATGAACTAATGATACCTTTGTACTTATTGAATGCTTGATTTCGAAATCTAAATACAGTACATTCGTTTGTCGTTATCTAGTACTTCTTGATCCGATTACGTTATTACTGGGATTCTTAGTTCATACCATAATTCAAATACTCATGAATATTGAGACGGTGGAGAAGATTTGTAGCTCAGGTGGATGATTTTGATGGAGTTTTTTTCTCTGAGCTGGATGGTTTGGTCGTGGAGCTTTCATCGTTCTTCTGAACGACATCATCGGCACAAACAAAGGTCAGAATTGACGAGATATAGCAAAACCGTACTGATAAGATTGAAATCAAACTCGTAAAAAATATAGCACAACAACGAAATTTAGTCGACTACTGACGAGACGAGTCACATCATTTGTTCAATCTATGAGCCAGTAAGTGCAAAAGACCAACACGGGTCGTTTGAATGCAAGTACTCGGCAGAAATGTAACGAAACCACTGGACAACGATTGATTACTAAGATCACAGCAACGTACAATACACAAAGAAAATATGAACAACTCAAACTTCATCAGTAATTGAGAGTTGATTACCAAGGTAACTGAATACCAAGTCCAGAGAAATGAAAATATTCGGTTGATTGTGATTCGGTTTGTTCATCTGTGATCATACAGTGGTAGATTTGCCTCGTTAATCCATCACCTTTGTAACCGTTATCATACACATTCCAACAATGTTTGAAATCATAAGGCAATGAGAAGCGGCAACTACAGATTATCAGCGGATAGCATGGATATCAGAGCAATAAGCACATCGAGCGGAATTGAAGCAGGGAGGCGAACGTGTGTGCGCGAGCGAATACAGAGGCAAATTTGTAGTCAAATCGAATCAGAGCACAGCAAGGCGAGACAGAGCCTAATAGTAGCATTCGCGTATATACATACATGGGGAAGAGGATGGATCATCGAGCGATATTCAAGCTATTGGGATTATCGCTAGAGTCTGTCATGTGATCAAGCGTACACGTTTATACAGATATGGTAGTGATCATAATGGTACAAAGAAATATGCGAATTGTTACTATTCGAATAACGTGGTCAGTTAAGCAAGTTAATAAAAAGCTCAAGTAAAATTAACCCTAATCGAAATTGGTTGTAGAATAGTTGCCATAATAACTCCACACTTCCAACAAAGATATGTGGGAAATATCTGTGTTGCACTAAGAACAGCAGACTGAATGGAGTAATTACAACCGTTTGAAGGTATCTGCTTATACATGTAGTGTCAGTTATTATGGCAAGCCCATATACCTTATTCTAACATCCGGACATCCTATTTTATTCATTTTACTTGAGCCATGTTTTGACCTTGTTAATTATTCGCTTATTAGCCTTGACTGTTTTCACATGAGCGTATGTGTGTGTACACTTCATGTCCCATGATTCATCACATGTCTGTAGTTTATTTTGTCTGCCTATAAATACTGAGTAACACTTAATTAAAAAGGAGTTGGCTTCCCAGCCATCTTCCATACGTGTCAAAATAGCTTTGTTATGGCTCTCGCTCGCTTAGCATGCGAACGGGCAACTTCATTGGTGAGCCCGCCGACGACGAACGCAACGCAGCAAGCTACGTCGATGAAGGCACTTCTGCACTTGATACATTCGACGCTCAATCTCTAATCCGACGCACTCAGCAAAGCCTGTGCAGCACGATATGGACATGCTCAAGTCGTATTATCTTATCGATACTCTGTCCTCATGTCAATTATCCTCATTGATACATTTTTCGGATTGTTCCATTACGATTCAAATTATCATTATATGCTTATTATTACATTATTATCAATATCATGACCGAATGTGGAATTATTAATCTTGTTCGTGCTGTCATTAAATTATGACATTTTCGCAATCATATCACTCACCGAACAAATTATCATTTTATGAAAATTCCACTCCACTTTGTGAGAACTCATTGGAATATTTTTACTATTCCAAATCGTGAAATTTTCCTGCTTTAAGTGAGTTCGTTCCAATTTTTCATGTCATTTTGATCTAATATTGCATTCATTCACTTAGTCGAGGTCCGCAATTTATGATATTACAACATACATTTTTCATTTCGAAATCGCCTCCTATTATGTCTGTGGATGCTTCTGACTAGCTGATTAGTAACCATTACGCTCATTTTATCTATTCTTCCACGTGCATAACTACACTCTGCATCACTTATCACTGGAAAACGCTATTCGAGTACTGCAACTACTATTCTATTCTATACCCATCGCACGGTATATCAGAACATAGAGTTTAGAGCTAGTCTCTCAAAGATACACTCTTGTTCGTCACATCCAAGTCAGTCTCATACGTCGCAATCGCTAATCATATGTATTGGTATTTTTGTCATGCCTTGGTACGGTTTTGTAACAAACGAGATCGAGCGCATCTCCCCCAAACCACACAAACCACTCTAGGCTTCATGACCAAAAAGGAATACGACTCTACGTACCTTATCTACTCAGTCACTATTATGTTCCTCTGGTCATTCTACTAATACATATTTAACGATAACTCAATGCATCTGTCATAACGCAGACGACAACGTTCACTGACTTTATATTTTATGATTATTATCAATTGCAGTACAGCAACGAATATCACCCGTCGATGCAGTTATTATTTCACGACTTGCCTATTATCATCCTACGAACGGGAACTACGCATTTAAATTCGAATTCACTCATTACTAGTCAATGCGATTTATTCTGCTGCGGCTCAACAGAACATATATTTCGCATATTTCACTATTTTGTCAGCATCACAGACCAATTTCTGTCATATTCTACTCTAGCCATTTTGACGATTTATTTCGCTGTTACACCTACAAACAATTTATTACTGTTTTCACGATACTTTGAATCACTCATACAAACATGTTATTTTATCGTTCAGACAATCATAGAATTAGTAGATGTTAATTTTTTTGTACGCTCATTAATTTGCTCATATTCACATGCTAACATTTTCATTTTTGTCCACGTCTTTTCTATATTCATGTATTCTATAGCATAAGTATGACATTTTCATATAATACACTCACCCCTCATGTGACACTGTACTTTATTGAGTGTTGTACAATTTTGTGGCTACTTAGTGTTAGCGTTAACTTCAGTGTTATTTTCGAAAACAGACATTTTTTAAATGTGCTATTTTCTACAAGGGGGCTATGTAGTGTCAGTTATTATGGCAAGCCCATATACCTTATTCTAACATCCGGACATCCTATTTTATTCATTTTACTTGAGCCATGTTTTGACCTTGTTAATTATTCGCTTATTAGCCTTGACTGTTTTCACATGAGCGTATGTGTGTGTACACTTCATGTCCCATGATTCATCACATGTCTGTAGTTTATTTTGTCTGCCTATAAATACTGAGTAACACTTAATTAAAAAGGAGTTGGCTTCCCAGCCATCTTCCATACGTGTCAAAATAGCTTTGTTATGGCTCTCGCTCGCTTAGCATGCGAAAAGGTCTACCTCATACATCATTGGAATGAAACTGATGTGTCTATTACCATTTACTGTGTATCTGGCTTCAAGCTCGTCCGTGAGCTTATACAAAATACTGGTAAAATATAAAATGAATATGGTATCATGTGGAAAAGTTTATACATACAAGCGTAAAGATATACAAGATACGCCGAGTTTTACAGTGTATAACATGAGCTTAATAATTCGTCTGTAGAATTATGGTCTACTATAATAATAGACCTTATCCTATAATTGTAGGGTTGTCATGATATAACTACCTAATCTATAAGATCTTACGTGGAAGTCACATCATCGTAACAATTACCAATGCATGATAGAGAACAAACTTAGGCTAGAGACAGAACAATATATTTAATATAAATAAAAGATATAAGGTAACATTCAGCAGGGACCACGCCTGCATGGCCAAGCAAACCATACAAATTGTCCTAATGATTGTGGACGGAATATAAGATCCTTTCGCTTATCGGGCTTCCGTGTCTAGCAGCAGGGGATCACGAATACCTCAAGGCAGGAACCTAGGTATGTTAACAATAAGAGAGAAAAAAGAAATTGGTAAATCATAGTATGATACTGTCCTTAGACCTTAAGAATAAATCAAGTTGCCTCATAAAGAACTCCTGGGAAGTCGCTTGAACTAGCTCGGCCGGCAGCGAATTCCAGCATTTGACATCTCTTAAGGAGTAGAAGTTGTGTGTGCAGTCCGTTTTGCTATGTTGTGTCTCCGATTTCTGGTTGTTACCCCTTAGGTTTGTACTGGGACCAAGCTTAATTAGGCGTTTAAGAGGATGTCCAGAAGTGTTAGGGATACTGTCGGCCACTAAAAGGTCACCTCTAAGACGCCTATACTCTAATAGGTAAAGGTGAAGTGATTGGAGGCGCTCTCCATTAGGTTTAAATTTGAGTCCCCGAACTGACTTCGTGGCTTGCCGTTGGATACGCTCCAGAGTGTCCTTATCCTTTTAGAGTGAGGGGGGAAATACTGTGTTTCCGTACTCTGAATGGGGACGAATAAAACCGTTGAAGGTTATATGGAAAGTTCTCCCGTCATACTGGCTTAGCAGGCGAAGAGCGCGGTTCTTGATGATTGTAGGTTGCTTGTAGCTTTTGGAGACCAATTGAAGAACTGAATGATTTGTAGCACATATGAGCGTGTGCAGTAAGAAGTCCCAATGAGTATCCACATCGAGTTGAGGGTGAACATCCCAATCCACCTGTTGTAGATAGTCCTGTAGAGCTGACACATTCAACCGTTTGAAATTCCAGCGTATTTTGTTGGTGGGATATCCTAGCTCCGTTTTGCTGACAAATTTGAGAGCTATAACGGCGTGATCGCTTTTCCCCAGGGGAGCCAGGATTGAGAGGTTGTCAACTATAAATTCTTCGTTTGTAAATACAGTCTAAGCGCGACGGTGTCTGACTGTTTTTCCAAAGAGTTGCCGACTTCACATTTTCGTATAATCCCAAATCCTCAATGAGGTTGAAGAACCGAGCTTCAGTTGATGTTTCACCTCCAATATACGTATGTTCCGCGAAATTGACTCTAGGGAGATTAAAGTCCCCAAGAATCAGGATATGAGTGAAACCGAAACGCACAGAGCGGGATAGTTCTTCCAGCATACGACTGTCATACTCGATGTCAGCAGTGGGCTTCCTATATATGACTCCGACTAGGCACCTCGAAGTAGTAGACAATCTTAAAGAACACCTTATGGATTCCTCAAGATTGTTAACCGCGAGGTTGTGAACTTGGTGTACCTCCAAGCAAGATCGTATGTATACGGCCACTCCACCCCAATTCCTGTTTTTCTGTTGTTGAGAAACAAAGACATCCCAGGTATTGCTAGCTCCTGGTACGAGAACTGAGAAGGTATTCAAGATTCAGATATTCTTGCCAGATGAACCTTATCAGCATTGCTAAGTTCACATAGCTCATCCATTTTGTTTGGTAGCTCGCGGCGTTCATGTATAAGCAGTTTATGCTTTCAATTTGAAACGCGTGAGCTTCTTCCTGTTTGTTTGTATGAGCCTTACGTGAATGGAAAGGTAGCTTACCTACATAAGTTTTGGCGAGTTGGTAGGCCCTGTCCTTTACACTTTTTTTGTCATCAAGACAGTCCACGAGTGGAATGATCAGTTCCGACTTGCCTTTGTGCTTGGTCCTGGCTTCATATGGCCTGTCCGGGTGCATGTGGATTCCAGTTGGCAACCGACGTCTGTTGGCACGAAATGCTCCCAGAGTTGTAGCCGCCATATTGGAGGATGGGAAAGTTATCCTCATTAGCCGGGGTCTAGAATCACCGTCCTTCTTGGCTAGTATCGTCACATGCTGAGCGAGTATGCTTTTGAGCCTCAAGAACTGTTTGATGAATTTCCATTCCCTAATATCAGAGTTTGCTTGACTAGGGTCCGTGTTCTCTGGTACACCTTGCACGATTAAATTTCTTCCGCGAAAAAACTTCTCGCGAGATTCTCTAGGGATGTTCCTAATGAGATTGCGCTCAGAATACGGTATGTCGGGTAGTATTCTTACGTTCACACCGGATTTCAGTAAATGACTAGCTAGCAAGACATCTTCTACGTCGGTAGCATTCTTAAGTGTTACACGAAGTAGCCTCGGGTGATTCTGATGCTTAGGTTTCTCTACCCGCGTGAGCCATGTGACCGTCAAAGGCTCCATTATAGGAAGTTCAAGCTTCTCGTTCAATTCACCCTAGATCATCCTGTCATTTTTGTTCTGCAAACTGAGAGGAAAGTCAGGGTTGTCTATGAAGTTCATGATTATGAGGAAGTCATCACGAACCATTGTTGTTTTCCCGGTTTTTCCGGTGCGTTCAGGTTCAGCACCTTGTTGTTTGGAGGTCGAAGCACATTTCTGAATCCTAGGCTCTTTGGCGACCGGACGTACATTCTTGGGGGTAGATTGTGTGATCAAACCACCAGATGATTTCCGTACAACGCTTGGGGTGTTCAGTTTAGACGGCGACGGCTGGTTCTTTTTAGCTCTGTTAACTTGGGTGCAACCACCTACAGAGTTTTTGGGAACCGCTGTTGCATTCAAGGACCCTGAGCTGGGAGACCCGAGTTTGCTGAGGGAGTCTATTACCGTCGACGTGATGATGGTGCTGAGTTTCAACATGTCATCATTAATGCTAATTCATACTTCATCGATAGTAGACCTGTCGACATCCCTATTCTTGTTTTCGATGCGCACCCTTGTTTCTCTACCCGTTTTATGACTGTCATTTTCCAAGTTTGCTGACAACTTGCTCCGCAGACCTGTCACTAGGACGATGGTGTTACTCAGCAAGACCACAACATTCGTTCTGCACGTAACACATTCCCACTTATGATACGACTTGCTGAGCCTGTTGCAAGCAGTTGCTGTGAAATCTGTGCACGCATCGTGGAACCAACTTTGCAGTTGTCGCACTGCGTGCCAGATGTAACAGCAAAACGGCATCCAGGTCGTTTGCATGAATTTTTCATGACTATATCGACGTAAACTGTGTTATAGATGCTAGCAAAAGCCAAAGACCGTAAAAATAGACAAAAAGCGGACAAATGAGGATAAAAACGGATGAGATAAACTGAATTAGCCTCTACGTGAAAACCTAAAAAAATCCGAATAGTAAGCTGAGGCAACACCACAAGTAATTAATAAATTGAGTGAAACTCGATAAAAAGTAATCGACATAACGTATAGCTCAGAATATATTCTTTAGATCAGTACTGGCTTTTGGTAAGGTAAGAACACAGCAAAAGGTTGAAAAAGGTGAATTATGGTAGGGTTAAAATTCCCGTTAGAAAAACCAGACAAAATCAAACAACATAAACTCTTTCATCCCGCACGCTATATCAAAACGATTTCACAGAGAAAAAATATGAATACCCATCACCACATTGTCGCGTATCTCCGTCCAATGCTAAACAAAACTTATAACAGTAGGGAGAATATCACATACCAGTAAAATAAAGAACATGAAGTGAGAGAGTCGTTATCACAGCAAACACAGAACTAAGGCAAGACACAGTTGAAAGCCTAACATACTCAGCATGATTAGGTCATAGATGATGGAAGACGATAGAAAATCGTTTATGTGGGATTAAGTATATTTAATGGTTAGACAAATGAGTAGAATAGTACAACTGGAGATGATATGGTGTATGTGAATTGTGATGATGTGAAGAGGAATTTGGAGAAATCGTTGATACTGAGATATGAGAATTGTTCTGAGTCAAATGCAGATCCATCACGGTTCAATATTTCAATAGTACCAATAGTACTGTCCAATGTCTGGACGACGAACTCCTGGATACCAGTGTTGACCAACATTTCGGTTTATCATTTCGAGATAGCGCTCAGGTGTATAATTTGGAGGATTGGGATTGCCAATATCATGGTTTTCAGGTCGCAGTTGTGAATTTGAGGGATCTAAATTTCCGGCATGCTGAAAGTTGAATTTATCATCTTCGTCATCGATGAAAACTATATTGGGTTTGGAGCCGTCCACACCTACAGAACAATAAATAATCATATTATTAGAGAAACGTTGAGGAATGCAGTCTGTAGTCACTCGGCCTAATCGAACTCTATCTGTATGTGAGTGGGCACAATGGAACACAATTTCAATCACTGTTCAACCGCACACTTGTTTACTGCAGCTCTGTCCAGTGGTCAGTCGACTCAATGAACAGACGACTATTGATAATATCCGATCATCCAAGTGGAACGGAAGCAATCTGAAACAGTAGGTCATTAGAGTAACCACAATCAACTGCTAATGCTGCAAAACACTTTGTCTCAGTGAACATACGAATTCACAACCACACATTGGATGCTAGTCGCCCCTAACAAGTACCTTCATCTTGTTATCCGACTCTAGAAACGTCAATCACTCGGTCTCACTGGACATGTTCAGATACTAGGATATACCAAGATATGGATAAATTGAGGCTGACGAGTTCACTGGTCTTGTGCTAACCATCACGATTGTCGGTGAAACACACACACACACACACACACGTACCTTGATTATATTGAACGGTAGAGTTGAATGGCATTGGTTTGGTCAGTAGTTGTTCGAAGAGGAAGACACTGAGTAGTAGTACGAAGACGAGTCTCATGACAGTTCTGGAAGAGGAAGAAGAAGAAGAAGAGGAATGCAGATTAGTGAGCGACAGTTGTGTGTTGCGTGATTGTCGCGAGTGAACTGGATGCCACGTGTGGAGTGAGATGTTGTGTGTTGTTGTGTTGTGTAGTGGAGTGTGCTGTAGTGTGGTGATGTGCGGAGTAGTGTTGTGTTTTGATATGGATACACTGCGACTCAGTGCAATTCGATGACTTACTTCACTCACCAATCGTTGTTCACCCAACCACTTTAATCAGAATACATGGTGTTTCACAATTATTTATATGGTGAGAGATATTCGTAACATGGAGGATTACAGTTGAAAGTCACGTGACACAATCACTGAAACGGATGTTCATGAACACTGAAACAGTCACGTTGCACACGTGTTCCACTGTGCTCCAGTGACACGCGAATGTGACGATTGGCAGCTGTTCATGCTGAACGTGAGTAGGTTGTGATGAATAAATCCATGCTTCATGCCAATCAACAATGATCACATGTACAATGTGTGGATGACTTGATTTGGAGTTGGTTATGAGAGATGAGGTTGAACACGTGAAGTGTTCCATACTTGACAATGGACTGGTGAATGTGGTGTTACTGAGTACTTCGGAGTGATGGTCTGTTATTCGGAATTGTGTTGCATGTGCGTGTCGAGTACCTCCACTTCTGTTAATCACAGAATCTCTCACATTACTGCCAGTACATTCTGTAAAATGTTCAAGATTTGAATAACGTGAAGGTGAAAATTTCTATATTATTATTGTTCAGAACTGTTTCGACTTCATGTACAACTCGTTATCAGGTGTTTTATCCACCAATCAAAATACGAATTATTCAATCTTAGCACTGTGCCAACACCAATTGCGTTCGACCGGTATGAGCAGCCTAGCGTCCCTATTGTTCCTATGTCCGCCTAGTCCGTCCACTTGAGTTTAGAACACCAATACCAGTTTCCACTATGCGAATTGAATCATTTATTTCAGAATTACTGTGTTTATATATCATCAAACAGACCGCAACGCACCATAAAATAGGAAATAACATCTGTGCACAATAAAGCCAAAACGTGACTGTGAACTTGAGAGGCAGTAGTCAATAAACTGAACATAGCTTAAGAACAGTAAATCGTACAATAATAAATTACAGATCAAAATAAAGCTTATAATAAGAGGAATATAAATATATGTAATCTAATTATTGAATAGTTGTACCATGAGAATGTATAGATGATAATAGTCAATTAATATGTCTCAGAAGTTACCCGTGATCTAATCTCCGCTCGGATATAACACCTCCCCCTTTTTTGAAGATTCCAAGTTCAGATTCTGATTTTAAAAAATTATGTGTAACTTCAAATTCTCCAACATCCTCCTTCTCCACGAAACAATGTCGGATCCCTATATCTCCAATTTACAATTAATAGGACTTTATTTAAACCATGTTTCTCGCATTGAATGGAGAATCCACTAGAAATGACCTTTGATTTGAGGTCAGAGTTTGGTTCTTCAGAAGCATTATTTTCAAATTCATTAGGAATCTCATTAGTGGATAATGGGTCATTAGTAAAATCAACATCTAACATAATTAAATTAGATTTTTGACCATCATTTGACTCAGCCGACATATTTTCCCCATTTTTACAAGAAACTTCATCACAATTATTTGTATTATTATGAGAACCGAAATCTGGTATAGTCATTAGAAATCGGATACGTTGGTTCAACATAAATTTCTGTATCCTGATGATTTTGAGTAACATTTAGTACAATTGAGTCCATCGTGCTGCACCAGTTATTTTCTGAATATTAGTCCACATAGCTTTCTCGACTAATATCACGTAGACCATAATTTTGTACTAGTTGAAGTTTATTTTCAGAGCTAGACAGGGACAGCAGTGTTTCATTAATTTTAAAACAAAATACCAGAGAATTTATCCTGGAATGGCAGTAACAAGCGGCCAAGTGTGACGCGGGTGATCTACTTCGTGTCCAGCTGAGTGACCAACTCATCGCAGGAATTAAATTACGATATCTGGAAGTTGAGATTATGCAAATCGCGAAGTGTTCCTTCCAAAATGGTAGGACTGCATGTATTTATTATGAGGCAGTGCATGAAATTGACTTCCACGACGTCTACTATCCTAGCATACTAGTACATTACTTGGCTATTCTAATCCAATCTGTAATCCATGTCACATGAACAGACGTTTAATCAACGGTATTTTCCGTTCTCGCAAAATCCTGAGAAGTGATTCATCGAAGAATTGCAAAGCAGTGAACGAGTGCAAGCACAAGTTCGTTAAGTGTTTGTCATGCGGCAAAGTTCAATTTCGTAATTTGTGTTCATTTCTTCATGTTATATGCTCCAGGTGTGGTGAGATGTGACACATTCGGTCGGTTTGTTAAACTACTGTTCATTTCACCGCAAGAAATTCTAAACTCTATAACTCGCACCCTATTCGTTTCTGTGTTTCTAATGATCACATATCACCTTTACTTACTACTTTCAGTAGTTCACTCCATGTTCGAAAATGATAATATTTGTCCAGCGATGCTTTTCATGATTTTATTGTTGAAACTGGCAGTGTCAGATCCGCCGTTTCAATAGGGAAGTTGATGTACCAATTCTATAACTAAAGCTATTTCAGTTTCTATTTTTCGAGAATTACATGCAGCAAACATCCTAATCATCAGTGTTGTAATTTGCGGATCCGGAATGATAAATCTTCAATTATAAGTTGTGAATTACTCATCACCGATTGTTGACCATCAATCACTGATCTAGAAGCTTTGAGAGTGCATTAGCGAAAATATGACGTTTGTATGAACCAATGGTTCCTTTATAATGCATGTCTGACTGATTTTGAATTCTAATTATGATACGTTCGTTTATGCTCAATAACTGGTTATATTTTTGCTAAATAAACTGTTACTTCCATCACAATTATTATTATTATTGTTATTATTTTTATTATCATCTTTAATATTTTACTCACGTACACCAATTTCTGTCCGTCTTCTCTCTTCATTTTGCTGCGTACATTGAAAATTATTTTTATCTCTGAGCAAACTCATTGTGGTGCATATGCATTAGACGCCTCATATTACCAATGTATAAGTGTTCAAATAATAATGATCATTCATTTAACTGTGAGGCATTTGCGGATCGGAAATCCCACTAACATTGATGTCATAAAACATGAATTTGACAATTCTGCAATCTACCAACAGGTGTGCAATCGCTATCAGACAAGACGACGAATACGAGAAAATCAGTAGCATGAGAAACATCCAGTCAATGTGGACGATATTACATATAATATATATAACGCGTTCATTTTTACCCATCTATATTGAATTGAACTATTTTGGAAAATTTAAGTTGAAAATAAATTTGAATGCTTCCAGTTATCATAAGCGCAGGACAGGGAGACTATCATAATGCATCGTATGTGGCACCAACACTGATAATTGCTTAATGAATAGTATTTCGATGATGGTGAGATTCGATCAGTTAACTAAGATCTTGTTCAGTGACTTGAACAACTCTGTACTTCTTTGTTGCATCTTCACTTATTTGCCATCTCCCATTGTGTTGGATTACACCGAAGTTATAGATCACGATGTCAATTTGATTGATTGGTTGAAAATTCAGACAAACACGAATAAACACACTACAAAACAGAGGTCAAGCACATATGTGATGATGTTATAGATTTATTGTCAGTTGTATAACAACACACAGTCTCGTCTCGAACAAACAGGCATTGAATTTCAGTTAATTACCTCATGATAAACGGGTCTCAAAAATGTGATCCAATGAGGGAAGTGTGCTCATGACGGTCGACAGACTAGACATTATGCACATTTCAGCAACCATCATTTCAAAATTAGTGGATGAAAAGGTGGATAATCGAATGACAGCAGAATACACTTACAATCACAACTAGAAATGCCAAGATCTGATCTTCACCCGGAATAATTTGAAATAGAATTGTGGGTCACATAACATGTGATTCGTACTGGATACCGATTCACTAAACAAGAACAAAGAAACATTGTGAAACGGTGATGAACAGAAGTGGAGGTACTCGACACGCACATGCAACACAATTCCGAATAACAGACCATCACTCCGAAGTACTCAGTAACACCACATTCACCAGTCCATTGTCAAGTATGGAACACTTCACGTGTTCAACCTCATCTCTCATAACCAACTCCAAATCAAGTCATCCACACATTGTACATGTGATCATTGTTGATTGGCATGAAGCATGGATTTATTCATCACAACCTACTCACGTTCAGCATGAACAGCTGCCAATCGTCACATTCGCGTGTCACTGGAGCACAGTGGAACACGTGTGCAACGTGACTGTTTCAGTGTTCATGAACATCCGTTTCAGTGATTGTGTCACGTGACTTTCAACTGTAATCCTCCATGTTACGAATATCTCTCACCATATAAATAGTTGTGAAACACCATGTATTCTGATTAAAGTGGCTGAGTGAACAACGATTGGTGAGTGAAGTAAGTCATCGAATTGCACTGAGTCGCAGTGTATCCATATCAAAACACAACACTACTCCGCACATCACCACACTACAGCACACTCCACTACACAACACAACAACACACAACATCTCACTCCACACGTGGCATCCAGTTCACTCGCGACAATCACGCAACACACAACTGTCGCTCACTAATCTGCATTCCTCTTCTTCTTCTTCTTCCTCTTCCAGAACTGTCATGAGACTCGTCTTCGTACTACTACTCAGTGTCTTCCTCTTCGAACAACTACTGACCAAACCAATGCCATTCAACTCTACCGTTCAATATAATCAAGGTACGTGTGTGTGTGTGTGTGTGTGTTTCACCGACAATCGTGATGGTTAGCACAAGACCAGTGAACTCGTCAGCCTCAATTTATCCATATCTTGGTATATCCTAGTATCTGAACATGTCCAGTGAGACCGAGTGATTGACGTTTCTAGAGTCGGATAACAAGATGAAGGTACTTGTTAGGGGCGACTAGCATCCAATGTGTGGTTGTGAATTCGTATGTTCACTGAGACAAAGTGTTTTGCAGCATTAGCAGTTGATTGTGGTTACTCTAATGACCTACTGTTTCAGATTGCTTCCGTTCCACTTGGATGATCGGATATTATCAATAGTCGTCTGTTCATTGAGTCGACTGACCACTGGACAGAGCTGCAGTAAACAAGTGTGCGGTTGAACAGTGATTGAAATTGTGTTCCATTGTGCCCACTCACATACAGATAGAGTTCGATTAGGCCGAG